AACAGTCATCCTGATCCTCAAAATAGGCTGGTTACGTTTGCCTATCGCAGTGAGGTCAATGTACAATTAGCCTCCATGTTATAACACAGGATCCACCCGATTCTAGTCCACTCAGCTGGGTTCAAAATCTCAGCAGTAGCAGCAGCAGCCTGTCTGTCTGTCTGTCTGTCTGTCTGTCTGCCCGTCTGTCTGATAAACAAAATGCCCCAAAACAGACCAACATTGGTATCATCAGATCAGTTCCTTTGTGCTGAGGTAATGTAACAAGGAGCCACACTGACACTGTCAATTCTTTCAACAACGTGACAGCAACTGTGCTTCCTGAGCGCAGCGTTTGAGCACAAGAAGTGACGTCAGATTATCATTATTATTATATTTTTTGAAGGGATTATTACCCCCGAAAAAGCCAACCCCATTGGTTGGGGCCTTGACCTGTGGTCATGTCAAATGCTCGTTGTGTTTCAGCCCATAAATATGCTAATCCCTCTGTGAGGCCGCACAGCAGGAAACTAAAATAAACAAGACATTTGCCGGGGTGGCCATTTTGTGAGTAAAGATTAACGGTCGTAGAGAGAGATGGCAGGAACGGTGGTTAAAACTTTCTACTGCAAAATTTTATTTTTGTGGGTTTTTAAAAAAAATACTACTGTGAATTGTCCTGTGACTGGCTTCGTTACAGCCTGAAATTTCTATATACCCAAATGCCAGAGGAAAGAAAGACCCACAGAATGCACTGGTTCAGATACCAGGCTAAAGATATACCCGTAGAATAGCCTGCGCATCTCACTGACACACGGCTAAAAATATATCTGCAGAATGTATCGTAGTAGTCTTTCTCACAGTCAACAATCCAAACATATCCAAAATGCCACAAGACTAAAGATATACACACAGAACACACGGACTTGCAATGCTGGGTATCACCTGCTAGACAGTCGTTCTATGAAATCTTTTGTATCTTAATAATAATAAAAAATAATAATGCCTGCATTCGATATTGCGCCTTTCACATCAGGAGGACGTGCCAAAGTGCTTCACAAGATTCTCTGCAAAGTGTAGTCACTGTGTTTTGTCGGTGAACACGACGGCGAATTTACAAGTTATTTATTATTATTATTATTATTATTTTACCTAACTCAGCACAAACCAGGAATCAAACAGTGAGTGCAATCTTTCCAGTTTGTACGGCTCTGTAGAATGCAACATGCTGAGCCGATTCACCAAGTGACTCAGAGATATCGGCCAAATTATACACACACATTTTTCCTTAAGTAACAGAAGTAGAAACAAAGCAGAAATCAGGTTACGTGCTCGGTTGAACAGTATTGAGACGCAGAACTTCAGCCCCGGTTTCCAGAGTTTCCTGATGACTTTGATATAAAAACCTGACTTGATTTGGTCAGTAAAGTTCAATGATCTGCATCAGGAGGACATTTGTGGGGCAAAATTTAAGAATAAAACGCCGAGTGATAAACTGTTCCCCTGATTCCAGTTCATTCACAAAATAAACAGCGGAATCGGAAAAAACAAAAGAATGTAACATTTGAAATGTATTAGTTCCTCAAAATCTTCATGTAAAAAGCTCAACGAGAGCCTTCTGTTCCATCCAATGTATGGTGTGCTGCAGCTTAAAGTCTGCCATTGTGTGTGTGGGTAGTAAGTGCAGGGGTGTGGACTTTATTAAAATTAGACCTGTATTGAATGGGGTTTAATTGTATGCATGTCAGCCAGAGGTTAGGCAGGGATTAGTGCATTGCTGAAGGCCTTTGAGATAATCGAGATGCTGTCATTTGCAGTTTGAACACAAAGCATGTTCTTCGCAAGGTGAAAACTGACTGACAGCAATAGTTTAATTACTTGGAAACGCTTGTCATCGAGATGTGCCAGACTGTGTGTAGGTACAGTACAAGCGCACAAACTCACCAAAACTTAACACTGCCCGTTTAATCCCGCAATTATGTTTTTAATTACAAACTCCAGCTGATTTCCGGAAAAGAAAGGCTTGCACAATTGTATAGTGGAAAAAAACAACAGGCAGAAGCATAAAATGTTCTAGCGTTCTCCTAACTAGACTGGAGACTGAGTGCCACCTATCCTATCCTGTGATTATGCTGCTTGTTTATAGATATACATTACAAGCAAACAAACTTGAAATCCCAATTTAGTATCAGATTTTAGCCCCGTGAACAATAACATCCTTACACTTGATATAGCACCTTTCACTTCGGGAGAACAACACAAACTGCTTCACAGGATTTACTGTAAAAGGCAGAGATTGTAATATGTTGTGGGCAAAACACGGCAACCAATTTGCACAAAGCAATGTCCCACAAACAGCCATAAAGTGAATGACCATTTGTTCCTAGGTGATTGTTGGCCAGGACACTGGGAGAAATGCTCTTCTCTTTTCAAATTATACCATGGGATCTTTAATATCCACCTGAACAGGCGATCAGAATTTTTCTTTAATGTCTCATTTGAAGGACGGCACTTAAAACAGTGCAGTGCTCCCCCCTCAGGCACTGCATTGGAGTCTCAACCTGGCCTGTGAGCTGAAATTCACAATGTGGGGCTTAAACCCTAAATGTTCTGCTGTCACTCTCAGAGGTCAGAGTGAGTATCCGGCTGACATTCACAGTTCGAGGCTCAACCAGCAATAATGGACAATAAAGTAACCAGTGCCCAAGGAACCATCCCACACCCCCCAGGAGGAAAGCAAGTAACAAATGTCAGGAGAAGAAGGGAGGGAACAAAATTGGTGTGGAGGGAAAATCAAAGCAATTGATGTATGCAACTCAACTAAGATGCAAATCCCAAAGCTTATGTTACTAAAAGCAGGAACCTACAAAGCACACAATCGAACAGGGGTTTTCAATTATGTTAGATGTGAGGTTGACCATTAAGGGAATGAGAGACAAAGGAATGGAAGAGGAGCCATGAACTGCTCCCTTTCCAAAGGAGCGGAAAGCTGTGAAACTCCTTATATGTTTCTCAGCCTTGCTTTCTTCCGACAATTAAATCAATCCTTCACGATCCAAGCTCGGAACTTTGTGATCTATCTCATGCTCTACTCCATGCGCTGTCATCCACAAAATACCCTTCATACAGACTGAGCAATTATTATTTAATAAAATAAAAAGTGTTGCAATTATATCGTTCGTCACAAAGAGAAGAAAAGCACACAGTGGGCAGATTTACTACTGGATCAGATTAAACCCCAGGCTGTGTCACTTACATATAGAAATAGTTACAGAAAGGACAGAAACATTAATCATGGAGTCAGAAGGATTCAGGAAGGGTGTGTAATTTAATTTGGAGTATTTCTATTCACGTGGTGGGGTGGGGATTACTGCCACTAAAATAGCGTATTATTTTCAAATTCTTTCGATTTGGAAAAAAAATTACCAAAACAAACAAAATTAAACTGAAACATATTTTGACCGGTTATTAAACATTTCATTGGGTTGTAAATCTGAGCAGAGCCTTGAAATGCCCGGAAAGTCAGGTTGAACTTGAAATGGGTTCCGGTGTCCCCAAGCAACACAGGTCTAGAATATCTGAGCTCTTTGAATTGTGAAATGAATTTACACCCTGCAGAACTTCAACATGTTTTCTATCACCTGGTATCTACGAGGAGGCTTGTCTGCAATGCAATACATAATAAAGGTCTCGTGTGGGTCACGTTTAATGTCAGTTCTCTACACTACATCTTGAGAGTCTTACCCTCAAATCCAAGACATCAATCTCTTCAAACCGCGTCTGCCTGACCTTGTATTTTTTTAAAAAAAAACCTGATTCCAAATGTTGGGAAACCGAGGTCAAAATAACATTCAAATTAAAATTCCTGGGTTAACACCTTATAAATGCTAATTATACGAGGCTACGAAAATAAACCGGAGTACAGAAAAATATCCTATGGAAAAAATTACAACTTTCTTATAGAAACAGGAGGAGGCCATTCAGCCCTTCGAGCCTGTTTCGCCATTCTGTAAGATCATGGCTGATCTGTACCTCAACTCCAATTACCCACCCTTGCCCCACATCCCTTGATACCCTGACCTAATAAATATCTATCCACCTCAGTCTGGACAATGCGAATGGATCCAGCGACCACAATCGTCTTACGTACTCCGCTAGTCTGACGGAGTGAACACAGACAATGCTACTTCAGAACAAGGTCCCCACAGCTGACAGGAGCCTGAAAACATATCAATTATACGAGGCTACGTTTGCTCCCCACTGAACTTATCCCAATGCTTTAAGTAGAAATTTGAACATATCTTTACACTTCATTTAAAGACAGATTTACTCAATCCCCATCGCCCCCCACAAAAGCAAATTTTAGCAAATGGTCATCAGTTGGAATGAATACAGAAGCAGGTAAACCTTGACTGTTACATGGTCCCATTTACAGTGTTCAGGCTTTGGTGGAGGGTGGTTTCCTCACGAAAGTGAAGGCGAGCTCCTCACTGTCTCCGATGTGAGGGCGGGGGCTTAAGTGGTTGTCGGGTACATTGACATATAAAGAGCGGGTGAAGCCTATCTGGTGGTTCCAGTGACGAGTTAAGCAGCAGTCACACGGATTTCTTGGTTAGGAAATGGTTTCAATGTGTGGGTTGGGGGGCAGGAAAGAGAGAGGAAGGTACAGCCTGTGAGCCTATCTAAATATTACTCTATGTAAGTGTAACTTTATAATCGTAAGTGTATACCCATTACACACCAGTGTAAGTACAAGCGTACCCTATGTTAGCATTACTCAGTGTGCATTACAATTGTGTGAATGGCAGTTATACATTAGTGCGACGTGGAGCGTTACCTGTCAATGTGAGGTGTGAGTTGGTTTGTTGTATTGCATAAACATCACCCAGTGTGTTATTGCTCACATTGGGTGTTTGGGGTAACCTTATCGAAAAAAAGTGATGAAAGGGGCTTTGAAAAGGGCCGGTCGTGCCAGGAACCCCTAGAACTAGAATTAAAATGAACTTTTCTCTTTTCAACAGGACACCCCCACAGCAGTATCACTGGGATTGCGGATGGAGGAGATGATTTTTAATTTGGCTGATGCACATCTGTTCTTTAACGACTTAGAGGTAAGAACTTTATTTGGAATGAGCAATATTTCATGCGGTTGAGTCTTTTTTTTGGGGTGGGGAAGAGTTTCCACCCGGGTCTGTCCGTAAGTGTTTGGGACCATCCAGAATTTCACAAATTGTTGAATTCATTCTTAACCTCCAAAAACGTTTTTCTGTCGTTCTTTAAAAAAAAGAAACTGACGGACAAACCAGTTTCAAAATTGTATTGAAGAAGTTGCCAAACTCAAGCTCCAAAAGTGCAGCATAAGTAGAGTAAATCAACATCCAAAATGGAATATCCCCCCTTTGGCATTTGTTATTGAGACGATGTGGATGTGACTTCATTTGTGTGTTTATATGTAAATTGTGTGTGTGAGAGAGAGCGCGTGTGTATACATCTGTGACTGTATCTGCATCACAGGTAACCCGTGCGTAGTTGTTTGGGAAACATGGGTGAGTTTGTGCGTGTGACAATGCACTTTTTTAATACACGTTTAACTGCGAGTAAAGGAAGTACATTCTGAGTACATTGGGCGTGCCAGGGAAGGGTCCCATAGTTACCAGCAGCCTCCAACGCTGATTCACCCAGGAGATCATTCTATGACCCGAGTCACTGAGTATCAGTGAGGCTCAGAACCAAATCCAATCTGTTCCTTGCCCGATATTTAAAACCATGTATAATGACCATCATGGAGGAGTGGCAACACTGGCTTTGTGTCCCTTCCCTAATCTCGATACAACGAGCTAATTGTTAGCCAATTGAGATCAGCTAATAATGCAGACCGGTGACTTTCTTTGTCAGTGTCGTTCCTACATGGTACCACGTTGGTGCATTTGTCCCCTGATCTGAACTCACTTTCAAGCAACCATCACTGGAAGTTTACAACAGTGGTTTTGGAGGATTCCATTATTCGTACCTTCATTACAGCACGAGTTTAATAACACAGGCAGGTTTATTACAGACATTCTTCATAGATGTGTTGGGTGGAGCTATCTGCTCGTGGACATATTTTGCTGTTCACATACCATTGAGGCATGTACGTGCAAAAAGACCTGGGTAATCTGAGCTCATTTCCTGTTTGCAATCTTTTTAGAAAAGAATTTCCTCACAAAGTAACATGATAAACCTTGCATTTAGAATACAAAGTACCTTTGATTAAACTCAACCCTCGAATAGGACCTCAGAATTTTTTTTTTGGGGTGGAGTGGGAAGGGGTTGCATTGTCACATGGGCATCGTTGTTCACAAACAACACACATAAGCTGCAATGATCTAGTGCTTCATAAAAGAATCATCCTTTGGGTCATAATAGACAGTGCAACAACAACTTGGATTTATATAGCGCCCTCCACACCAGACGGCATCTCAAAGTGCTTCACAGTAACAGATCCTGGGCCGAGTCAGGGGGAGGGGGAGGAAGGTGACCAAAGGCGCAGTAGCTACAACTGGAAGCAAGAATAACAATAACAACTATTATTACTTGTATTTATATAGCGCCCTTCACGCAGGGAAGTGTCTTGGAGAGTCTGTACAATATTCCTTAACGCCAATAACTCCCATTACACCAGATTGTTGTTGTTTGTATTTCCCTCAACAACCATCTTTAGAGCTTCTCTGAATGACTCGGCAGTGCTGTGCTTATACATCGCTGGGTTAATATGGGCAGTTTTGTGCTGGGTGCTTGCATGAGTTGGGTTAAAGCTGCCCTCGAGTTTTTTTTTTACGTGAAACACAGCATCAATCCCATCAGATTACACTTGATTAAAACTCCAATCCCAAAAACTAAGGGGACGCTGATCATCCCATTCCCAATTCTCGCGTTTTTGTTGTATTACAATGAGAGTCGAGAGAATATGGAAATATACATGCGACTTTCATTCTGACAGTCCATGAATAAAGAGGAACTCTGGTCTCCGCCCAGACGGAGATATTAAAATATGGTTAAATTCCAACCTGGGTTGGACAACAGCCACACCAAAAGTCAAGAGATTGTAAGGTAACTGTATCCAAAGAGAAGTGTCAATTTCCTTTGGGGTTTGGAGAGGTTTAGCTGAGGTTTAACACTGGGGTATGTACACACATGCTCAAGGCACAGGAGCAGAGGAGAGTTCATGACAGTGTCAATTAAACAGGTTCTGTGGAAGGAGCAACCTTGATTGGCCCAAATAATAATAATAATAATCCTTGAATTTGATATAGCATCGAGACGTCTCAAAGCGCTTCACAAAATATACTGTAAAGTGTAGTGACTGTATCTTTTGTGGACGTAACGCGGCAGCCAATTGCGCCCAGCAGCGTCCCCACAAACAGCCGTGGATTGAAGTGACCAAATGATTACAAAGAGAGATCAAATGACCGCATTGAAACCAGACCCAACGGCCTTTGAAGCATAGCAGTGAGTGAGGAACTGTCACTTTGGCTGAACAATAATTATCGAGTACGACCTCTGGCACCGTGTCGTTTCAAACGAAAGGAGAAAATATTAATAGAATGGAAAGGATTGATTTGTAAGTGGTAAAGCAGTTCACATCATCTCATACTCGTAGCGCTCCTCATCCGGGGTAGTGCCTGAGAGCACTAAACCATGGCAGAGTCTGGGTGGGGGGTGGTGGGGGGTGGGGGAGGTCTGTAAGCTCGGTCAAAGAGAAAGGTCTTCAGGTGCGATCTGAAAATGGGGAAGGAGGGGTGGGTCAAGGCAAAGGCATTGAAGGAAAGAGTGCCTAAGATGTGGGGAGTAGTGGCTGAAAGTGGAGCCGGTGGAGCGGAGGGAACAAGGGACAAGCAGGAAGCTGGAGCCAGCCGAGCGGAGGTGGAGTGGGGGTAAGCAGGTCGGAGAGGTAAGGAAGAATTTGTAGAGGAGTGTGAGGATCTGGCCCAGCACCTACTGTTCTGTTCATTGTAATACATGGTGAGGATACAGCCACTGAATATTAAAATGGTTTGAGGTCCGTCCACCACCTCAGTATTCTCCGAAGGAAGTTGCTGATACAGTAACGTCGAGAAGGCACCAAAGGCGAGGAATGAATTGTGGTTCAAACTGGTTTGTATCCGATTACACTGTCAGTCCCGCTGATGTACTTAATGATACACCAGAGGCTCAGCCCTATATAAATATATATATATGTAGACAACCAGTGAAACACAGAATAATCCTATCGGATTTACAGTACGCCCCACATTATAGTGAATGGTGTGTAACACTAAACGTACACGATTGCTGTAAAAGTGAATGACATTTTTGGAACACCATGTCCTACTCATGAATTGTCAAGCCTTTGCCTTACTCTCTAATCTTAAGTTGTGAAACCTGTTGTGAAATTCTTCTTACATATATATCACTGAACCTGAATTATTTCTGCTTTGTGGTGTTAGTACATGTAGATCTGCTAGTCCTTTCGATGCATCTTAAGAGAAAGTACAGCACAATTCAATAGTAAAAGTAGATCTGCACTTGGGAGAGTGTGTGTCTGAGAATTCAGATAATAAGGACTGCAAACAAGATATCTGTACAACCTTGGTGCTGTCAAATATGTATTTGAGCTTTGATCCGAAGGGATAATGAGAGAGTCTAGGCAAATCTGATTACATGGGAGAGAAAGCAGAGAATGAGGAAATCAAATGTTGGATTTTAATTGCCTTCCCAAGCTCTGTACAAGCCTCCTTTGCTAAGTGGGTCTCTATGTGCTTTTGTAAATGAGCTTAATGCTTTACATGAAGGAATTCACTCTGATTGAAAGGCGACCTTTCTTTTTGCTGTGGAGCTGAAAGTCTCATTCACTCAGCATTTAGCTCAAGACGTTTGTGAGCGATGAGGTCTAACTTCAAAGCCACTGGCTAAGTTGGCTGGTGATGCTCTCACCAAACGGGAGCACGAGCAGAACAGTGAGAGTCTGGCGCTCGGCCTACCAACAGGAGAACTTAATGTCATAGCTGGAAAGATCTCGCAAGGGCACAATTCACAACGACCGTTGTACGATAATAGACTCGTGTTAAAATTTTTTCGCTCGTCAGTGAATCAACATTCACAGCGCACAGTACACAGAGGAGACCAGGAATTGGAGAGGAAAAACAAAGCTGATTGAACTCTCAAACTTGCTGCTGTTTGAAAGGTGTACCTGGGTTTGTGCCCTATCATCTGATCCTTCATATCTAAGGTGGTTCATCTCGACATTCCACTGCCTTAATCAGCAGCGCAAATAGCTTACGATTTAAAGAATCTACAGAATATGAACCTCTGATCTTACAGTAGCACAAGGATCACAGCCGTTTAGTCCTGGACTTGGATGTTATTAAGCTCACATTTTCGTTCATGTTAATGTAATAGAAACGGAGACTGTTCTGCTTTTGGGTTCCAGTCCGTCACTTTTCAGAAGCTTCGAACTAGCACAGATACAACAGGAGGGTGAGAGTTAGTCAAGAACAGAGTTAGGTCAATATTCCGGGTACTGGGTGTTGAGATGTACAGATGGCAGTTTGCAAGGCAATGATCTATATATCGTCATTAAATAATAATCATAATAATTGTGGCTACATGATTTGATATTTAATAACATGATTTATATGTAACATGATCAAGCATGCTGATTATCCTGAAGGGGAGTTTACAATTCGTTTTAGATGTAGGGCAAAATATAAATAAATGTTGACGTTTATAAGAATAAGAATGAAGAAAACAAATAGTTCCATCTGGCAGATTGAAAAAAATATAAAGAGTAACAGACATCTTAGTTTAGATTTATTGCAGTAGGAATACTGTTCATGTGCAATTACAAAGTAGATTGAGCGATTTTGGGTGTAACACAAAAAATACTTCTTCTGTGATGCGATGAGCAAGATCCTCATTCATTTATATTAATTCAGGTTTATTGTCCCTCTCGGGACGATTTCACAAATGGCCTGCAGCACTGCCTCTAACTCACAGCATTCCAATCATATAGGGTTGGGTCTTAAGATATCCTTCCTTGCGAGAGATCTTATTGAGCTGCACTGTGCTGGTTTGCACTATACTGAAGGAGCTC